GCGTGCACAGACACATAGCTGGACAGCAAGCGCTCGCCCACCCTCCTCTCCACCAGCGAGTAGGACACCAGCGCGTTCTCCTGCGCGTCAGCGTCCATGGCCGACACCGTGAAGATGTGCGCGCCAGGCGGGTTGTTCTCCTTCACGAACACCGTGTATTCGGGCTGCGCGAACGCGGGTGCGTTGTCGTTGACGTCAGCCACCTCCACGGACACGCTGGCTGTGGCCCACAGCGAGGGCGAGCCGCCGTCCCGGGCGGTCACCACCACATCATAGTTATCTACAGTCTCTCGGTCCAGAGTGTTGTCCAGCACAAGCGAATAGTAATTCTTGAAGGTGGACACCAGCTTGAATGGGACATGAGGGGTCAGGGAGCAGGTCACATGCCCATTGACTCCAGAGTCTTGGTCTGACACGCTGATCAGGGCGATGACAGTACCCAAAAGAGCGTCTTCTTTCACCGGGAGAGACAAAGAAGTAAGAACTATTTCTGGTGCATTATCATTTTCATCCAGGATTTCCACAAGTACAGTGCAGTGAGCAACCATAGGTGGATGTCCTTTATCGGTAGCATCCACGTGAATTTCATAATTGTTCCTATCCTCAAAGTCAATAGCACCATTTACTTTTATCTCTCCAGTTTTTTCGTTTATTAGAAATTTCTTTCTTATGCTAGATGAGGTCAGAGAGCTAAATGAATACTCCACTTCCTTGTTCATTCCTTCATCTGTGTCGGTAGCATTCAGCCATATCACTAACGTTTGATTCTCTTGATTCTCAGACATCTTAACTTCGTAAACAGATCTGTCAAACACAGGAGCATTATCGTTAGCATCCAAGACCTGGATCAACAGAGAAACCGATCCCGTAAGCTCGGGTTTGCCTCCATCCGTTGCTGTCAGTGACAACTTCAGCTGAGGAATTTCCTCCCGATCTATCAGTTTTCGAAGAACAAGCACTGGGAACTCGCCTTTGCCTTTTTTGTTTACAATATCAAGGATAAAAAAATCATTTGAACTGAGTTTGTAAGTAAGCATCGCGTTCTCGCCGACATCTGCATCAGATGCGCCTTCTAGTGGAAATCGAGAATCAAGCAGTCTAGATTCAGGTACCAAGATCTTTTGTTCTGCTACAGAGAACATCGGAGGGTTGTCGTTAATGTCCCTCACCTCCACCTCCACATGGAAAACCTGTAGCGGCCGGTCCACGATCACCTCCAAATGGATTCTACACTCCGCGCTCCGCCCGCACAGCTCCTCCCGGTCGATCCGAGAATTCACAAACAAAATGCCATTCTGCAGATTTACCTCCAGAAGGTCCCC